TAAGTGCATACATATATACTATATTTGTAGTCATTCGAACTGCGCGCCGAAATTTTTTTGGACTTAAAAACGCAGCTAAATTACTGAAATAATATCACAATTAAATTATGCTCAATAGGCATCTATTAAAGAGATCTTAATATGCAGGAAATCTGAAAATAAAATTAATTTGCAGAGTCAACAACGGCGCAAGGTATGCTTTAACATTATACACCGTTATATACTCTGGTAGAAATGTATGTAGTTTTCCTAGGCACCTATTCAATTACTATCTAATTCAATTACTATCTAATATTACTGTATTCTCGTTAATTATGCCAATAGTGAGTAGGAAATGGACAAGAACTTGATAGAGTTTTATTCTGTCCATTTCACGAGCAGTTGGCTTGCTTATTAATCAATTTAATATCCATTATTTTTTGTGTTTCTATGCAGTAAATGCAGTGGCGTAACTAACGACCCCGCAGACCCTGCGGTGCGGGGGGGCGCACCAAAGGCGGGGGCGAAATCTCAAAGTATCATCGTCAAATTGACGATTTGACGCCCCGTAAGCCGAGTGGCGAAATGCCATTTCGGAAATGGCCATTGTTACCCTCGGTTAAATAAAAAAATTTTGTTTTTATCACAGGCGTTGAAATTTTACCTTTATTTTATGGGGTGACCTTCGTGCTAAAATTTCATTTAACGCCCTGAAAACTATACAATCACGAATTTAGTAAATGAACATAGTCAGCGCCATTGTAAAGAATATACTTGATCACTTACAGGAAAAATGTTTTTTTTTCAATTTTTTTTTTAAATAAAAATAGTTTTTAAACAAATCAAGTTGTGAGCAAAATCTTCGTGGTTTTCTTGTCGTTTACAAAAACTATATAAAATGAAGAGTATGATCGCATCTAGGTATCATAGTATTAACAAATAATTTTAATTTGTAAGAATCTGTGATTGATTTTGTTTGAACTAGTTACCTACATGAAAATTCATGCATGTATATGATGGGCAGTCTGCCCAGGGTAGATATTTATTTTGATGCGTTACCGTATCGAAACATTTGCCGCGCGGTAAGTGAAAAATCGTGTCGTGACGCGACGCTGCATAATACACGTGGAACCTTTTCAAGGTTCAAATGCAAAAAATTAAGGCGGAAGAAAAGGGGGCGCCTAAATAAATTTGCGGGGGGGCGCACATAGGCTTAGTTACGCCACTGAGTAAATGGATTCAGATTTTACGCAACTTTTGTATGCAGTAACTGCAAATAAAGCGTTACATCCTGATTGGATACATCCGAAGTAATTTTCCTTCTCAGTTACTAGATAGAAGTTGGTATAACTGTTTAGTAACTGCTCAAAAATGGTATGAAATTTCTACCAGAGTACTTTCGAAATTTTAATTGCGATTTGGAAAATCATGTGTTACATATAATATATATTAGATCTATCCGAAAAGTTTATATTAATATATTAATTTACGTTAACTTTTTAACTATACAACGTGCTTGAAATGGAAATAGACTATGTGCGGAACGATATTCATAAAAATCAATAATAATTAATAATAGTACACTTCGTGAGTGCGAGCGTGGCGTAACAAGCAGCGCTCGAGACTACTATGTCAGAGATCCCGGGTTCGATCCCAGGCAGAACCGAAAAATGTTTTCGAACGCTCGTAGCTCCTCTCGGAAGGCAATGGCAAACCACCGAGAGTATCTTTGCCAAGAGAACTTCTCTAATAATCGTCGTTCGGAATCGACGTTAAACTGTAGGTCCCATATGGCTCTGTACAACCAGCGTGTGTATCACAGGCATATGAGAGAAGTCACCACGCTCGGCTACGAGCAATATGAATGAGGATGACATCTCGGTTACAATAGCTTGTCGCATCACCTGCGAGGTACTATTGTAAGAAGTAGGCCTATTCCACACAAATGTACACATATGTATTTGTTATATAATTGCTTCAGCCAGCGATTATATATCTAATACAATGAATTAGATATATAAGTTCGGCAATACCACTGTCAGGAATAAATTTCACGAAAAGAAAAAATAGACGTCATCAATAGAGTTTATAATGGTGAGTCTGAGCTGCTGTGGCACGCGACATGTGCTAGAGTCCATCCTCGGAGGACGGTGTAAGGCGGAAGAAAAAATAATATCTCAAGTTAACAACATAAAAACTTCAATATACTTGCATCATCCCCTTAGGGTCGACTCTGATGTCGCGTGCCACAGTAGCTTTAGATTCACCATTGTGAACCCTATTGATGGCATCTATTTTTTCTTGAGGAGGCCTCAACCGTCGCTTACTCGCGATTCATTTCCCGGCATCGTATCTCTAGATGAACTCGTACTCGGCCCAGGATCGCTGACGTTCAAGTTGCTCTTATATAGTTATTATAGTAACTAGTTGAAAGTAAAAAAAAAAAGTTAAAAGTTAGTAACTTTTAACTTCACTTAGTTAATTTTAAATACATTAATTTTTTAACTAATTTGGTTACTTTTAAACTTTAATTTATTAACTTTTTTTAAATTGAAAATTTTTTTAACTCTCTAATATTTTTAATATTAATAATATTAAAAATAATATTGCTAATATTTTTTTTCTATAAAGTCTTTCACGCGTTAGAGAATTAATATCAATTTTTAGTATTTACTGATATGTATGGAGCCTTTGAAAGTACTTTTTTTCAATAGAGTTATTCATAGTTAGTTTAATTAGAAAAATGGCAAATTTTCATTGAAACAATACTTACAATCGATAGAACCGGTTTTGTAAAATATACCAAAAACTCCTTTCGCTTTGTCAATTAATAAATAACCCATATACCTATTTAAAAATAAATTATGTACAACAAAAAACAAAATAAGCTATAGCTGCAACTATCAAATTAATAACATATAAAGATAAATATGATTAAATTCTCCCCGAAACAAAGGGTAATTTTCAGTATATTGTGTTGGATATTTATGTAAAACTGATAAAAAATTAACAATTAAATTGCAAAGATATGTCTCTATAATATACGTAAAATACATAAATGTATATAACATGTGTCGAAAGTTGAAAAATGCAATTTATCAATATAAGTGATCAAAATATGATATCCTATAGGGACATTTTATATTAGTACAATGATAATTACAAATATCCTAAGGTAATCACATGGACGATTTAATGTTTTGGATCAGAATGGGATCAATCTGATCAAATTAGGATATCCTAAGAAAATACATTGCTATTTGGGTACCCGATCTTTCATAGGTGAAAAACTGAAGAATCTGCGTATATAACTTAAGAATTCAAACGTAATTGATTATTTTAATATTAATTACGCATGAACTTATAGTTGCATAAACTTATTTTATTTAATTAATTACAAATGATCGTAACTCGTAAAAAAATATTAGATTCATTTAGCCAATAACTAGAAATGTACTTAATGATTCCGAAAATGTTTCATGATAAATTGATATTAATATAAAATTCGATCTTTTACTCTGACGCTGAAGGTCGTTATAAGCCGAATTTTAATTGATAAAATATAAAGAAAATATATTTTGATTTATGAAATATACATACCTTTTGCAGTAGATCAGTTAAAAAGAAACATCTATTCATTTACATTGAATTTTAATATATAATAAGGAAATAGCTAAATACGAAAGGAGATTTTATATACTCTCAAATTATGTCGTTAATTCCAATTAGAGTAAAATAATTTTAATTGTTTACAAATTGCGGATAATGAATTATAATTGAGTTCTCTAAATTATCAAGAGCACAGCAAGAATGTAAATTCTTAAATGACCATCGGAAACATTTATATTAACCGTTTGATGGTTCAACAGAATAAATTGATGATTCAACAGAATAAACCATTTGATGGTTCAACAGAATAAACATAATTTTTCAAAGGGTAACTAGGATGTTGTTATATCGATCACAGGCAAAATTTATCTTTCCATTCTTTCTCTTATGAATGAAAGATTTTATTTTATTTAAATTTAATTGTCAATAATCAATTAATGTTCTATTAACATCCGTGAGCTTTGATCTTGAATAAAATTATGTATTGATGTGTGGTCTAGTGGTCCTATTGGAGCGTGACTGATTTGTATCAAATATGCGAATATACTCGAGCATTTTATGAAACTATCCTTCGCATGCAAAACAAAGAACAAAATCTTAATTTTAATATAATATATTATCTTTTATAATATAAAATCTTAATTTTTGACGTGAGAAACACGAGATGATTTAAATGCAATTCAATATCTATTTACGACACAGACTTTCAAAGATTATCGAAATAATCAAAATGATAATCGCGATGTAATACAGCGTAAAAATGAGAGATTTATAATTATGTAGATGCTTCAGGAATAGGAAGTAGGGAATGCATCAAGACAATTTATTAAACACAGAATTTCTCAATGACGATGATATCACAATATCAAAACTTCATGTAGTTAATTTTTGGAACAAGAATCAACGATGCAGCCGAGTATATGATTAAGATATTTTTTCACTTATGCTTATATTTATTTATTAATTTTTTAGACGGAAGTCATCAAATTTGAAAATTTAATAAAAATATTCACAATGAGCATTCCTTCTTTCTGTCTCCCATACGTACTAATTCATGCCTTCTCACTCGATTACATATTCTCTCGTCCGATTACATATATATTCTCTCTCTTTCTCTCTCTCTCTCTCTCGCACTCTCTCGCACTCTCTCGCACTCTCTTACACATTCGCTTCCGATCAAACATTCGTCTCTGTTACCTGCATGGCCGTAACATTGGTTGTGTCCAGAAAATACAATACTTAATAACTTTGAAAAACATATTGATGCAGATCTCGAAGTACATTCAAAGTATAATGTTATATTACGCCAGTATATTATACTTAGAAATATACTTGTTCCAAATGTTAATCAAAAGTTATATCACTGTTGTGTTTTCTGTGCACAGCTATTCATGAGCTTAATCGCAGGTATCGGCCAATATTTTTTATCGCTATTAAATTCATACCTTTTCAGTATGTGGATGTGTCCATGTATATATTAAATGTGTGTATGTGTGTGTATGTGTATATGTGTGTATATTACGTGTGTCATGTGTATGACGGCAATATATGTATGTCGTGTTAAATGAGCTGGGTGTGTACGTGTGTTACATGGCTACGTGTAGTATAATGTATATGTACATTCAATTAATAATTATTATTAATAACAACAATAATTAATACGAATAGAAAATCATGTTTCACGTTGTATGACTTAGTTCGCTGAACATTAATTCTTCAGTAAGTAGTAAAGTCGTTCAACGATGTTCTGGATTATTCAACATGCATGTTCGTCGGTCAAGCAAGGCCTTTTTTTATTACCACGACTTGCTCAGCTTCCATGAGAAGAAGTTTTTCATAGAAAAGCTTTTAGGATCTTTCGATTTTTAAGTTAGTGATTGTTGTTTCGATCCATCGCAACTGCTGATAACAATACACGAAACTGTGACCTTTTCACTAAATGTAGTTTCACTTGTTAAAGTTACGTTAACAGAGTCATGTCTCGCAATTAGCGAACCGACATACAGTATCATTCGCTTGAGTTCATCTTGTTTATGTGGATTCAATCCAAGATGACAACCATTTCGTCTTGACGACCTGCTCTTTGGAGGTGAAGCGGTGGATTCAGGGGGAGCGACATTCTGCGCCATGGTTTGCGCGCTGCTCTTCGTAACTCCACCGAAGACAGAGCTCTTCGAGCTCTTCTGCAATTTGATAAATCGAAAGAATTAGCACAAATACCAAATGTATACGTTACATTATAATCGCAACTACTAGAATATTGCGATAAAGATAAAAAATTCTTATACCAAAATTTATAAATATTAAGAAACATAAAAATCGAATTGAAGAAATGAGAATAAACAAATCGCAAATAATATATCCGTTCCTTTTTGCATATAATCTTTTTTTTTAATCTTTTTCAATAATTGATAAATTTATAATCAAACAGAGATTAAAGACTTCTTCACACTTATACACTGCTCTACATGAATTTTCTTCGAAATTGGTTTATGTTTATCTTCAATATTCCATCTGACTTTTATACTAACTTGATCTGTTCGGTGGCACGGAAGTAGACGTCATCGGGTGCATCCATCCACGACATGACTTGCTTACGTGCGTTACTTCTGGACAACGGCGGACCATGAGGCAGCGGATGAGAGGCCCTGCCGTTAAGAGGCGGCGCGAGAGGAAGAACTGCGGGCGCGGGATGTTCCAGCGTATGCTTCGGATGCAGTTGCTGTGGATGATGAGCTCTTTTCGCAGGCGGTGCACCAGAAGGAAGCCCTGCGTTCAGAGCGATACCTAAAAACGAGTAAATAAAGACTCGCGACAATTTTAAAGAATCCTTGAGTACAATCAATTTTTTTACAACATGTTAACGATCAGCTTGATATCGCAATGTCACTTGATATCACTTAATATCGCTTGATATCAAAAATATGATTTCCTATTTATTTAACATATGCTAGTGTACAATTTCAAAAATCCTATTTATCAGTTAATAATCGTTACTGGTTTACGATCCTTTCCGCTAATAATTCTACGTAAAGAGAGAGATATACAAGTCATTTTATTACCCACAAATCTTTTTATTACTTATAACAATTTAATAAAATATTTTATAAATATAAAAATAAAACATTTTGTCTCTATTCGATAATTGATTCTTATTATTATTAATCACCAATAAAATAGTGCGAATTAAAATAATGAAACTTACCATCTGAACCGTTAATTTCGTCGAACGATCTTGGGCGTTTCAAGATATTTTGTTGGGTCGACATGACAGGCTGGAGCTGGGGTGGCGTCAATGTGAGCCTGTCCACTTCAGGTTTATTTGGTACCCTCTCGTACAAAAGACTGCCGTCTACAACGTTATACTTTATGTTACCAAATAATAATGTGTATCACACACACATGCACATGTATATAAAGATAATGAACTGAACTGTGAGCTTCACCATATCTCTATCAGTGATAAAATACTTTGTTTAGTGTAATTTCTTTCCACATTGTATAAAATTATTTCACACAACACAAGAAATAAAAATATTTATATTTATATGTTCCCGTTGTATATATCACGTTATATAATATCGTACCTTAATATTTTTATGAATAATGAGATAAATCAATTGGTGAAAGAAAACACACATAGTTGCTTATTTAAAAAATTATCCATTTGCATACATATTTTTTTAAAGAAATTATGTGTTTTCTTTCCACCAGTTGATTCATCTCATTATTTTGTTCATAAAAGTATTAAGGTACGATTATCAAAAAATTAATAGTTTTTAGAGTTATTTACACTTTATAACATTTTATGTCATATATGCCAGAATAAAGTATAAAATACTTTATTCTCGTAAACTATTGGTTTCTTGATACCATTCCCTTAATGCTTTTATATGCAGAATAATTAGAAGAATCATATTGTAATGTGTAACAAAAATCATACAATTCCATAAAAAAGTGGAGATGATCTTGAAGCATAAACAAATATGATCTTGAGAAAAATTTCTTGCTCATCATAATATATGTTCCTTCAAATCGACCAACTTTTTTCTTTCGTATTTTCTCGTATCATTAAAAACAACGAAGATATTTTAAATAATCGAGTTAAAAGAAACATCCTGTATTATTGTGTATGTATGTAATTAAAATAATCAAGCGTGTTGGTTAATTAATACAATGATAAAGTAATATTTCCAATATGACAGACAATTGTCACACTTTTATTAATAACACTAGTTTACAAAAAATTTTTTTTTCAATTACTTTGGACCGGACTACGTGTCTTATAGATTTTTAAATGCTAAAAACGATGCCGCAAACAAAAAAATTCTAGCACGTCAGATTTCCAAAATAATTGAGGTTTAATACTTAAAAAATGGCTTTTTTGCGATATTTGACATTTTTTAATAAAGAAGGTTAACGTTAATCTTGAAATTTCGATTAGGAGTCATGAATGTATTGTTCATCCCCTATAAAATACATTATTTTTTATTTCAATACCTTACTTTTTAGCCATGTTATGAACGATTAAAGATAAGAGCTATTTTGAGGACCGCGGCAACGTCATATGCGCATGCGGTAACGCTAAAATCATTTTAAAACAACACGCGCATACACACACACACACACACACACATAGAGAGAGAGGGGGGGGAGGGAAAAAGAGAGAAAGGGGAGGGGAGAAAGAGGGGAGAGAGAGTTGTTTTATGAAAGATATGTAGTTGCATATTGTTAATTGCATTTTTTTTTAAACAACGATGTAATTTTATTACACGAATGGATTAGTCTCATAATTCTCTGTACATAAAAGTATTAAGGTACAGTTATCAAAATGTGACCCTAAGAAATTAATCCGCATACAAACATGACGCTGCCGGAGTCACCATATTCAAAATAGTTCCTATCTTTAATCGTTCATAACATGGCTAAAAAATAAGGTATTGAAATTTAAAAAAATGCATTTTATAGAGGATGCACAATACATTCATGACTCCTGATCGAAATTTCAAGATAACGTTAACTTTCTTTGTTAAAAAATGTCCAATATTGCAAAAAAAGCTATTTTTTAAGTATTAAACCTCAATTATCTTGGAAATCCGACATGCTAGAATTTTTTCACTTGCGGCATTGTTTTCAGCATTCAAAAATCTATAAAAGACACGTAGTCCGGTCCAAAGTAATTTTTTGCTGTAAACTAGTGTAATTTTATAAGAATTTCATTTATTACTTATCGAAAAATGTTGAGACTACGCTGAAAAAAAATGCTGTTGATTCAATTGAAGTCTATATTACGTGCTGTCACTAACATAAGTAATTAGTTTATGTATATTTATATTGACATAAAGGCATAAATTATTATTTCAATAATAAGGCCTTTATGTCAATAAACAATATACATGAATTAATTACTTATGTTAGTGACAGCCCGTAATATAGACTTTAATTGGGTCAACAGCATTTTTTTCTCAGTGTACCATCTCGAAAAGTCTTATACTTACTTTATCTGATTTCTAATTTTTTATGACACATAAATTTTTTATGATACAAAAATTCAAGCTTGCCGCTGGCTCAGTGCTCCCAAAAAAAGTGAGAATAATGAGTTTTGTATTCGAAATAGAGAAAAAAAAGTGAATTTTTTTTAAATACTGAGCAGCAAGCTAGTAGTCTGTTTTAGATTTGATTAAAATTGTATAGAATGGTATCTAAGGATTAGCACTTTATTATTTTGAATATATTATCCTGTGACGGTGATACTTTCATTATTTAATATTCCATTAAATTTAAAGGCACTTTTGAATTTTAAAAACGATATCGTTAAGAATACACGTTTCAACACGTTCGGCAGAGAAGAGAACAAACAAAGTTCTATTAACAATAGCATCTAAATTCAGAAACTCTGAAATAACTTAAGAATGAAACAAGTATCTGGAAACAAAGTTATTATTTTTAAATTAAATATATCATTATTTAATATATTTAGTTTATTAAGATTCTATAAGTTTATTTAAATCTTTCATAACTAATAAAATTGGAACATATTTAAAACTTTATAGCATAATTTTCCCTTAATATTGGATAGAGAAGGAAAAGTTTTGCGGCATTTTGTTAGCTCAAAATTATATATACAATATCTTCGTTAAAAACAAAGAAAATTTAAATTTAAAAAATGATTTTAAAGCTTGAAATCTCTACTTTTGAATGGTGACTATATTTTTTGAATTTATGTGAGTTTTGTAATTTTTATATATAGAAAACTACGAACTGAAAAGAAGGAAAATTTTTTTCTCACTTTGTGGGTCTGCCAAAAAAAATTGCGAAAATTTTTGACTATCTATATCATGAAAGTTTGGAGTTTTCCTTACAAAATCGTTTTTTAAAAATGTTTCTACGATTTTTTGTTCTTCAGTTATTGGCGAGTTAAGTAAAAAGGAGCATTCGACTTTGATTGCTCATAACTCCATTAAAAATCATCGTACTGGAATTAAAAAAACAGATTCTTAAAGCTGAAACGTTGCTCTATTGAGTGTGTGTATGTGTGTGTGTGTGTGCGTGCGTGCGTGCGTGCGTGCGT